TGAAAGTAAGTTTTACAAATTAGAATTTTGTTTGTCAAAATCTTCTATTTTGGCTTGCAAATCTTTAATCTTACTTTTGAGTTCACTGTTGGTCTTGGATATGAGATCTTTTTCATTTTTCAATTTTGTAGTATCTTTCTTGTATTTTTAAAATAACTTCTCATAATCCGAAGCCAACTCATTATATTCCTCTAATAACTCATCAAAAGAATAATCATCTAAATTAGATGAGTTAGAGGTTACATGGGAATCCTCCTCAGTGGCCATTAAGCACAAGTTTACTACTTCTTGTTCCTCTTTATCGGATGATTCACCATCACTCCATGTAGCCACGTGAGCTTTATGTTTTTTCTTTGAAAGACTCTTCTTCTTCAATTGTGGGCAATCGTATTTCATATGCCCAGGCTTTTTGCATTCATAGCATATGATTGAGTCTTTCTTTTTCGACTCATTTTTTAAGCCTTCATTACATTGGAATTTTTTCCTCTATTTGGCTTCATTAATTTTGAGTCTTTTGGCAAGTAATGCCATTTCTTCATCCTCGTCGTCATCAGAGTCACTCTTATCTTTGGTAGACTAGAGAGCAACACCACCGTTCTTCTTTTTTTCCATCTCCTTCTTTGTATCGTCATTCTTCTCATGATCTACCTCATCTTGAATCATCATTTCATGAGTGAGGAGAGAACCAATGAGCTCATCGAGAGTTAAAGACTTTAGGTCTTTAGCTTCGATAATTGCAGTCTTCTTTGTTTGCCAAGCTTTTGAAAGAGAATAAATTATCTTCCTTATAAGTTTCTCATTAAGGATTATTTCTCCGAATCCCTTGAAGCCATTGACAATTATGGAAAATCTATTCGTCATAGCTTTGATATCTTTATATGGTTTCATTCTGAAATTTTCATAGCTATGATTAAGAAGACTAATTTTGGTTTCTTTTACCTCGCCAGTTTCTTCATGTGTGACTTTAAGCTTGTCCCATATCTCCTTGACGGTTGAACAAGATGTTATTCTCCCATATTCATCTGTCCAAGTGCACAAAATAGAATATAGATTGCTTTTGAAATGAGCTGGAATTGTCTCGTCTCTTTTTCACTCCACAAATACATGTCTTTGGATGGTGCAAAGTAACCTTTCATCATGATGTTCCATGCTCCCATGTCACTAGCTTGAACAAAGAACTTCATCCTATTCTTCCAATAAGCGTAGTTAGATCCATTGAAGAAAGGAGGCTTGTTGACGGGCTGAGAATCAAGAACGAAGTCAAAGTTTGATGTAGAGGCCATGAATGACTTAGATAATGATTGAACTCTTCCCGGATCTTCTCAAAAGGTTGTAAAACCTTCAAATGAGTCTACCTCTGATATCAATTGTTGAGTCAATCAATTGGATGAAATAGCCAAGAGGGGGTAAATTGGCAATTAAAATTTTGGTGGAAGCTTAACAGAAAATAAAAAGATTTGCACAACGATTTAGAGTGGTTTGACTTTCTCAACCAAAGTCTACGTCCACTACCTTAGCTATCCACACTAAGGATTTTCCATAAATTCACTAATTTGTCTTTCTTTTAAGGACAAGGAGTAACCATACAACTCCCTCAAGAATTTTATACCCCAAATTCTTGAGACACTCTTTCTCAAAGAGAAAATTTCAAATTTCATAAACTTAGAAGAAAAATCTCACAAGGTAAAATTATTTACACAATTCTAGAATAAAGAAAAACACTAAAAATAAATACAATTGAGCACAAATGGTGTTCTTGAAAGCAAAATGAATATTGAATGGATGTTGGCTTGATTTGCTCAAACAATAAGTTTAAGGCTTTCTCAATTGTTTCTCTAGTTTCTCTATGTCAACAATGGCTTCAAAACTTGTTTAAATACCCCTTGAATGAATTCTGAACGTTAGGGATGGTCATAAAATCAATTGATCCGTTGTTGTATGTTTTCCACTTCAAAAAGCTGTTGGGAGCGTCTTGGTATTGGTACTCCACTAAGGGGTATTGATACTACCTGTATAAAATTCAAATATTTTGACCGTTGCAACTCAACAGTATCGATATTGTCCAAGGAGTATCGATACTACTATGTAAAGTAGTATCGATACCTATCATGGATATTTGCATTTGATGTTTGTCTCGGATTCAAAACCAAAGGAGTAGTATCGGTACCCATGACCATGGTATCGGTACTACTATATGTAAGGGTATCGATACTGGGTAGGGTATCAGTACCCATTTTGCATTTGATGTTTAGGGGTATCGATACTGTTAAGCCAGTATCGGTACTACCCTATTGAAATCTCAATTTTGACTCGATTAAGGTTCGAAATACTTTGTAAAAATTATTTTAAAAATATTTATAGTGTAAATCTTAATTTTTAATTTAGTAAGGAGTAAAAATTGATATTTGAAAACTTGGAGTAATATTTGTGATATTCGAATAATTGAATCGAATATAATATTTAAATCGAATATAAAATTTTAAAATTAATCAACACTTTATTTGTATATTGAAATATAAAAATGTTTTCAACACCATTCCATCTTAGAAGACCATGATCATCATTGAACGTCATCAACAGAAGTAAAAACTAACTCGTTTTACAATCTCATGTGCTAGTTGCCCTATTTTGTCCGCTCCTAACACATACATGAATGCCAAACCCTTTGATTGCCTCTGTATTCAAGGAGAAAACTAGCTAGGTCCCTTCAAGAGAAGAGTATATATTCTAGAACATCTTCTGGAGTATGATTAAGGGTTCTTATTTTGCGGGGTCTAATCTTGTCATTTGTCAAAGATTTATAACCTCAATCATTAAAAAGGCTTTTAATTGAGATGATATTAAAAAAAATTCAAAATTAAAATTTGCTCATTACTTATTTCCATAGAAGGAAATATTTTATTTAAAATGTTCGAACGTCAAGTGACTTTCAAACATTCAAACTTAAGAAGAAAGAGAAAAACAAGATCAAACAAGATGACATGTTTTTTATGGGAATGCAACAAAATCCTTATGGATGCCCCAGCCTTCTCCTGATTAGGATGCCCCATTACACATTGAATGTCAATGCCCCTAAATCAATTAGATCTTGGACCTTGCGCTTCAATGTCCCACAGTTCTCAATAGTGTGCCCTGAGCTCCTAATATGATAGTTGCATATGGCATTAATATCATGGCCTTCAGGATATAGTGTCTCTCCTGGTTTGGATTGAACTAGAGTCACAAGGTTTTTCTCAACTAGCATTGGGAGCAATTCCTCATACGTCATTGGGATTGGATCTATGCGAGTCTTTTCACGAAATACATTATGAGGTTTGGTCCCATGCTTAACTAGATAAGATCCCACGATGTTAATCTCAATATTTTCCTCAACGTCAGTACTGTTAGTGCTTCTTATTTGGCCATTCTTGATAGCTCTTTCGATCATTTCTCCACACATGACGATGTCAGGGAAACTCTTGGTGGTAGCCCCTATCATATGGTTGATATATGGAGACTTCAATGTATCGATGAATAGAGTGATGAACCCTCTCTCAGTCATTGGTGGATGCACTTGAGATGCAATATCCCTCCATAGTTGAGCATGTTATCGGAAGTTTGCACCACTCTTCATCTCTATATTTTGCAGTGTTGTTCAATCAGGGGCCATATCAGTCATGTGTTTGTATTGGCCCAGAAAGGCACTAGCCAAATCCTTCCAGGAGCGGACTTGAGTACGGCTCAGCTGATTATACCACTTAAAAGCAGGTCTAATCAAATTGTCTTAGAAGTAGTGGATGAACATCTGATCATTGTTGGTGTATCCAGTCATCCTTCGAATAAACATCGTGAAATGGGCATTAGGGTAACTAGTTCCATTGTACTTTTCAAAGTCGAACATCTTGAATTTAGGTGGGAGCACCAAGTCAGGAACTAATACTAGTTCCCTTGCATCCATTTCATTATGAGAGCTTTTTCCTCTCATTCCCTTGAATGTCTCTCTGTACCACTATTTCAAATTCTCCGGGATCTCATTCTTAGCTCTTTTCATCTCATCAGGATTTAATATGTGGTGATCAGTATAACTATCCTGAGGATGTTTCACAGTTGTACGAGTTTTAGTAGCGGAGAAGCCTGCTTGGTGGCTTGGAAGCTTGTGCGGCGAAACGAGTATCGGTGGATTAACATGGGCTATCGTACATTCAGAGGTTTCACGGGTCAAGGAAATCTTCTCTCTGCCTCTTTCTTGGTTGAGCCCAGCCAGTTTTGCTACCATTTGACTAACTAGGTCTTTTTGGTTTTGCAAGATGTTATCCACAATGGCTTTTTGCGCCTGCTCTATTTTAGCTTCCCACTCTATTTGCATCTTTTGCAAACTCTCTTCTAGCTCTTTCTTCAGTTTCTCAAATTTTGCGTCCATTCTCAGTATGTGCATGCAGTTGCACAGTTAGAAGAACTTTCTCAAAGTTCCCCATAAGATATGATTAATGCATGTAAAAATACTTAAATGAATGTTATGCAGAATGTAAATGCAAAAGGTGTCGATTTCCAAAAGTAACCATTTCTAGAAAGAGTTCCATTCATCCAAAAGAGTTTTCATCTTTACAAGAGAGATCAATCTATGAATGCGGTTTGACCCTTTTATTTAGCTCCATGATCTCAGTCATGATCCCAACAACTTTCTCTTCTTTCCAGAAATGACTTTGAATCCAGACGGTGAGTAGTTGAGCGCAACCGCTGAATCGACTTCACTTCAATCTACGACAATTATTTAAGGATTAGAAGGTCTCTGTCAAGACAGTCGGTGCAAGATTTATACCTATCTCCAATATGTCAAAGAAATCTTCTTGAGACAATGTCACGGAAAAACACTCGTTTTCTCCCTTTTTTTGGATGTGCTCTACTATCCAATCTTCAACTCTACTTGTAATCTTCACAAGCTTACTTTTGAAGGATTGGAATTTCAGAAGTCTAGAATGAATTATATCCACCTGGAGGCTTTTGATGTTAAATAGAGTAGTATGCTCTTCTATTGTTGGTGTCAAATCTTGTCTGTTGAAAGTGAAGCAGTTGTATACGGAATTTCAACATTGGACCAGAGCTTTAACAAACGGTTCATCTATCTTTATGCAGAGGAGATAGGTCATGTCGCCATATTTCTTGTGAAATTTCTCCATGGTAGCTACTCTCCAAATCTCCCAAATCTCTATAAGCTCTTGTAGATCAATATGCTTGAAATTGACATTAACATCGGTGGACATCTGTGATACATAATCCCCAGGCAAAATGTCTCCTTTCACCCTTTGTGTTTCTTCAGACTAAACTCAGTTAGTCGGATTGGGTTATTCCTTGTTATGAAAACTCTTTTCCATTTTAATGGTTGCTCTTCTACTATGATGATTACTTGGTTAATCAACACCTTTCTTTTATTTATGATGATCATGCAAATCTTGTACATACCGTGTTTTTAATGATTGATACAGTTGATCACTATCGAACATTTTTTCTTTATTTCTGCTAGGAACCTTTATTGAAGATTGAGGTAAATAATCCAGCTTTGCTTGCTGGAAATTGGTCTCAGCTATGTACAACATCAAGGTGCTTGCCAATTCTAGTTTTTATTGTCTATATGTTATTCGTTCGATAATTTCGCTTTCTCTTATTGTTTTGCTATTTTATTAAATAATCAGATTGTCAGGCCTCTTCGTGCCAAACACTGCTCCATTTGTGATCGTTGTGTTGAACAATTTGACCATCATTGCCCTTGGGTAGCAAATTGTGTTGGCAAGGTGCTTTAGTTTTCCTCTGTTATTATTTTAATACTTTATTTTGTTACATGTTTAACATCCTGTACTCCAATTATACAATCAAATTAAGGGCTTGAATGCTCTTATACTTTGACTTTTATCTTCAAAGATATAGACAATGTGGGTGAAGTGCGATCGGGTGTTAGTTACAATTATGCTTATAGGTCGAATTTCCCATATGGAAAGTGAATAGTATTTAATTTTGATGAAGTCATGGTGTCCGTTTAATTTCATTTGGTGCCTCGTGATGCAGAAAAACAAACGGGAATTTTTTGTTTTCATTGTTTTAGAAGTTTTAGCAATGTCGATTACTGGTGGAGTTGCTATGACAAGTATGCCTTCTATTCAAATTCCAAGTTCAAACTATTTTCCAAGGTTAGCATAGTCGTCTTTTTCCTCCTTGAATGTCCCACGAATGTGTTCTTGTCACATACAGGAATCTTGACGGATCCAATGGCTCCATCAGCATTAACTATTTCACAGGCTTTTCAGGTATGCTTGAGATTTCGTGATCTCTAATTGTCTGTTTCTTGTAGGAATTACTTTATATTGTTCCGACCTTGGCCTCAATTGAAAAGGTATGTGCTTCTTCATGCTCTTTTAGATTAGTCCGACGCTCACACTGCAGAGTTTTGGAGAGCAAATCTCTCACCGTAAACCACCATTAATCTTAATCAAACTGTAACAGGAGTTTATTAGTGATTATGGATTGAGTGAATGTGTCCGTACCTGCATCGGAAGTTTTGAGGTATTGCTTAAAATGATCATGTACCCTTTCCATCCCGATATGCATAATCAAGGCATTGTTTACCCCCAAGGGTTGAAATCTCAAGCCAACCTTCTGTCGCATCATTTTTCTCCCAACATAATATGGACTTCTGTCTGTATGCTTGCTTACGCCATTTCGTTTTTTGTTGTTCCGACTATTCTTCTTTATGTATTTATGTCCAACACGTGTCGGACATACATCTGGACATGGTAGGGGATGAAAACCTCTTAAAGGCCTTACAAATGCATAGAGAAACTTGGAAAAAATTTAACATACATAGGTCCAACATCCGATGTGGTGCTTACGGTTAGGTTGTAGATAATTTTGCATATCTAACTCCCTTCTGTTGAACGTGAATAATTGCTACAGATATCTCGGAATATAACAACGAATGAAATGGAAAATATCATGCGCTATAGTTACCTCAGGGGTGCTGATGGTCAGTTTAGAAATCCCTATGATCATGGATGCTGGAAAAACTGCTCCGATTTCCTGATCAATAGCTACCATGAAGACGTGCCGATTACTGAAGATTCCAAAGGTACTGGGTTGGTTCAAATGTTAATGGAACCAAACTTGCAAAACGCTGATTTGAATGCTCTGGTGAACGGAAACAACCGTGTAGCTGTACATCTTAATTCTAGCAACACCAATGCACATCATGGCCATGTTCATTCTTCGCACTGCACCCTTAGCCATAGCAAAGTGGAAAGCCGAGAACGAGTCTTTGGTATCAGATCTTGGTCGTGGACGGAGTAGCATCCTTACCGTCGCAACTTTGCGATATTCACATCCGGATAAGTTCAAACTGATGATGTGCGTCGGATTAAAAGCTTACATACATCTGGTCTCAGATTTTGTCGATCTATCAGTCGCTCATTCTCTGTTTTGAGTTTATGGGTGCTGCATTTTTCCGACTTTTCGCATTTTCTCAATGGTTTTACAGTCTGGGATGTTTGAAAGTAATCCATTTGGGGTTGATGTGAAGTATGGAACAATGTAAATAGTCTCATTAATTATTTATTATTGTAATAATAATTATTTTATTCTTTGATGAAATATTTTGATTAGTTTGAATGATTGATAAAGGTGGAAGCGAAAGCTGAAAAACAAATCAACAATCCTCAATTATTCCAACAAACACACTCGGATCAATCCAATACAAGAACATCTGTCTTCTAAATTTCTTAATAAAAAATAACTAAGACAAATAACGAATTGATCAGTTTAAATCAAATATCAAATCTATAAAATTATTACAAATAATGGACTCACTGTTTATGTATATTTTCTGCTTCTTCGAGGGAGGAAGCTGATGAAGGCAAAAGCAGAAACCGACTAGCAAATATGAAATCCCCGCTGCTGCTGCTGCTTCGTGTCGTCCCCGAACTTCTATGGATAATTTTGAACCTATTTCTTGACAAAGGGAATCAATCAAACACTTTTAAGAACCGTAACAGTCTCCTTTGACTCTGAAAGTTCAAGGCTGATCTGAATGAAAGATAGAAAGAAAAACTTGCATAGGAGACAACCTGAAGTTATTCCTGGCAACTTAAAACGAATTGCATACGGTTTTCTCATAACATGGTAATGGAGGTGAATAAACATGTAATTGAAAGTGACAGGCCAATAAAAGCGCATGTGATGATTTCGGCATGCAGAAAAAATTTGAAGAAAATATTCATATTTTTCAGAGGTGAATTGCATCAAAATGTTCTATGGCACTATTGTGGTTTATTCTGGAGAATCAATCAGCTTACCTAAAAAAATCAGGACCATATATCTCACTTCAAGTAATATTAAGCATCTATGCACGCTTCCATCCACGTATTTTCCCGGAAACCCCACACAAAACAACATACAACTCATGCAAACTCCAATGCATGATAAATTTTTGAAACTCGCCGTCGAAGTAATGGCTCTAGTCTGAATGATGAAAACTTGCTTTGCCATTTTTTAGCTTCATACATCTCATTCCATGCCTGTATTATCTCATCAATCTTAAACCCTAAACCTGAAACGACAAAAAGATGAGTCATGCTTCTATGGTATATGCAGATGTTAGATGCTGATGCAAAGTTATGAATTTCAAGCAGTAAGTTACCTTCCACTGCGTTGTTATTTGAACAATGGTTCTTTACCATAACAGCTATATCCGTAGGAGAAGCCCCGGCATGTTTGAATTTCTCAACAGCCACTTCCAAACATTCTTGCCAGACTGGTAGCCTTAGTTTGAATTCCATGATCGAACGTTCGTAAAGTATGGTGCCCCATAAAAGGTTTATTTGAGCACTCATGATGACAGCCTGCTCAGCAGCCTCATCTGCTGATATATCTTTGAATAAACCATCCAATCTGATTTTCTGCATCTGTTTTTGTTCCTTCTTCAGTTCGGTAAGCTCACGCAGGCATTGCACTTGTAACTCCTCCCACAGAAGCATGCCTTTTTCCATATTTTCCTCAGCATTGTTATAAAGTTGCAGCACTTTCTCGGAAGGCCAAGTTTCGAGATCAACATTGCTACCAATTGCATAATACCAAGAAAGTTTTGCCTGCTCAAACTGTTGTTGCCCTAGAGCTAAATGAGCTTCATAGAAATCGGGTTTGGTTCTCAGGGCTTCCTCGTACCTCTTTCCTGCTTTGGTATATTCTAATTGTGCCCAATCATAGGTAGTTTTGATCTGCTGGAGTACAGATTCTCTCGAGCCATCATCCGTGGTGTACACCCTCTTCCTTGCCCTGAACATATGAACATTTCCCCAGTTGAACAATGCCAATGCTGTCAACTCTTGAAATTTCTCAGCCGCCCTGCTGAAAAGGTCCTGGGCTTCTTCACTTGTAATTGTGTCCTCCATGGCCTCCAAATATTCCTTCATACCGAGTTCATGAAGATTCAAGTATGCATCTGAATCAAAGCCAACATAGTTCTTGAACAGGTGGGCGAAGTCGATTATCCAGTCCTCTATGCAACATGAGTCTTTCCTTGCTTCCTTAACTATTTTGGCATCCCCGTTTTCAACTGCCTTACCTTGTTTTAAGCCGAGTTTGTGACCTTCCTCAAGCTTGAATCTCTCAAAGAATGGATCCTGCTCAGAATTGACTTCTACAAGGTACAGCCTCGGGGAACCCCGTGATACTGCCGATATTTCGGCCAATCTCAGTTCTTCATCACTGGTGATTGTGACTAAATCGCCTTCTTCATCTCTGTATTTGATAAGAACTGCTCTTGAGCTAGGAAACCGATCATGAATAACTTCCCGTATTTGCAGAAGGCTGCAATTAAGTGGCAACCGAGCGCACCTTATATCTTCTCCGAAAATAAACTTCACAATCTTCTTTGGTTCTTCCTCCATTTTATTGATGATTACCTCCTCTACAGCCAGTTTATCCTCACCCTTCTTTTCATCTGTGCATTTGTCAACCTTCTTCTCCTGAACTTGGTCCACAGCATTGTTGTCTTCAACTTTATTGATCTTCTTCTTGGCTTTCTCTTTGACAACTTTTGAACCTTGTGAAGCACTTGGAGGTTCAACGTACTCCGGAAGCAATTCAATCACTGTGTCATTCACTCGTAACCCTTTTTTCTCGAGTGCATTTCGTACTCTTTCTGAAATCTCTATTGCCATGATATTATTTGGCTCCACGTTGAGAACCGTAATAACATCTCTGAAAGCTAATTCGAACCGATTCAAAGCCTCGTAACACCTCGCCCTCTTCAGGAGGGCCTTGCTATTCTTAGGCATTACCTCTAAAGCCAAATTACATTGGTGGATTGCCCTGGGGTACTCGCTCAGTCCCATCTGCATATAACATGCAGCCATATTGCTCCGAAGATGGCATACATCAACGTGATTCTTCGGAAGCAAATTGAGGGCCTTTTCGAATTTCAACATTGCTCCTTCATGATCCCTCCTCTGAAACAGTTTGTTACCTTCTTCCTTCAGTTCTTGAGACATGGAAACGAAAATCGCCATGTCCGAATTATGTGATTTCGAACTGCTATCTCCGACTTTGCTATGCTTCACATTACTATCGACTACTTTTCCTGTTTGCTTCTTGTTCTTTACTCTATGCTTCCCCATTGCAAATCCAACAATTTCTCAAATAATTTTCAACAAAAAAAATAAAAAATAAAAAAACCTAAACCCTTTATCTAATTACGAAAAAATCACTACCCCTTGAACTAAAGCCACACGATCCCCAGAAAATGATAATTAGATTTTCCCTTAGCACAACACCGTAAATGCAAATGATAGATCACCCAGAAAATGAATAAAAAAAATTATACCCCCTCCAAACAATGAAATTGTCACTCCTTGAACAAAGAAGTAACCAATCCCAATTCAGAGAGGAACAAAACAATCCCAAAATCCTTAACTTCAGCTAAAAAGATAAAACCTTGATGAAACAGAAAAGGATAAATTCAAGGCAGACGAGATGGACTTATCTGGTAAATGAACCGAACGAGGTATGAAAATTTTCCGGGAAAACTCAAAAAGAGAGCTTTTCAATAGAATCCCTTTGGAACCGAAAGAAAAACAGATCAACCACCACCCCTTTCGGTTTTGTTTTATATTAGCGGAATGCTCATTAATAATTTAATATTGTATTTATTCTTAAAATTTCAGGAAAAATACAATGGAACCTTTTTCAGTTTTTGTTTTGGGTAAAGTACACCATAAGGTTCGCAAACTATAATCAATCATTTTGTTCACTCAACTTTTAAAAATCATAAAATGATTATTGAATTTATCAAATAATCATTAAATTTATTAAATTATTGCAAAACAGTCATTAAATTTATCAAGTTATTACAAAATGATCATTAAACTCATCAAAACTTTCACAAGTATTATAAACCGTTTTGTAATCGTTTGAAAAACTAAATCATCGTTATGTGTTTTTAAAAGTTTAGTGATTAAAATGATAATTTGATCAAAATTTATGGACCTCTAGTTTTGATTTTCTCTGGGATTCCAAGTTTATTGGTACTTCCAAAGCAGAATCACAATAAATCCATTTTTATATTTATTAATTGTTTTCTTTCTCTCTGGTACACAGATCATGATTATCACCTTTTTAATATAAAACCAATGATTAAATCTTAATGTTGATATTAGATGATAATATCATCATAATGTCAAGAGAGTAGTAAATATTTTGGAACATTTAAAGAAAAATATTTGATTGAGTCGAGTTAAAAAATTATATTCAAATTTTATTTGAAATTTTTTAATTGAAATAAAATTTTTGAATTAATCGTATTAACGGATCATATTTTATAATTTAAATTTGATATATGAGACTTTGGATTATATGATTTATTTATTTTATTTTTACATAAACTAGTCGGAAAGAAGAAAAGGAAAAGACATTGCTTAACTTGAAAGGAAGGAAGGTTTGCCTGAAGAATCGTTTTAATTAATTTATTATTTTTTAAGTGTTGTTTTATTTATTATCGAAAATATTTATAATTTTTTTATTAAGTTAAGGTGATGATGAAGTAGTATATGTTTTAAATATGTTTAACCATTTGACAAATGAACGTTCAATCATTCTATTGGAATCAACGATGTTTGAAACTGTAATCTTAACAATAATTCTTTTAACCACTAAGATAAATTAATTCGCGTAAAATAATTATAAATCTTATTTACAAATCAAAAATTAAATCAAAATAAGTTTGGAACACCGAAATAGACAAGTGCTCATGTCTCTATAGCAAAAATAATTCACATTGTCTTCCCACAAAAGAGAGAGTGGGCCCGCACCTTCTATGTAACGAACACGTCAAGTGGTGGGTCCCAAAATAACTGACAATCACATAAAATAATTAAGGATAAAATACACAATTAGTACCAAAACTATCAGTTTTAATCCGTTTTAGTATATAAACTTTCAATTTTTTCAAAATCATGCTTAACGTTTAGTTTTTTGTTTTGTTTTAGTACACTGCTGTTAAAACTTTAACAGACTGACAGGGCATAGCTACAGTGGACGGATGACCAATTCGAACGGTGGATTGCGAGAGAACAACGAGTTGACCAACATAGTCCAGTTCCAGGCCCATTGGACGATTGACGACAAAGATCAGAAGATGGATAAGTTGAAGAATCCATCGTCGATTTGGAAAGATTGAGATATTTTCCGATGAAGCGGAGGTTGAAATCATGTTTAGAGGGTCAAAAAGTTGCAGACTAGAAAGATTGGGCTTCATCGACCGACGGATCCACCATCAGCTATAGACACGGTAGCTGGCAACCCTATCCATTAAATTTTTAACGACCCCGACGGATATTAAAATGAAACAAAAGTTAAATTTTTTGTATGGCTTTGAAAATTTTAAAAGTTTAGGTATTGAAATAGATCAAAACTAATAGTTTAGATACTAAACGCGTAATTTACCTGAAATAATTAAAATGAAAAGCAAAATCATTGCTTGCTTGTAATTGCAATGCAAGCCAAGACGGCTAGCTATCCTTTGTTCTTAGAAGTATATTAAATGTAATTGCTGTTTTTTTTAGTGTCTGAACCCCATCGCTCACCATATATTAAAAAAAATCAGATATAGGAAATGGTAAAGAAAACGATTTATGATTACCCACTTACCTAGGTAGTTCAACTATACGATACGGTAAAAGAAATTTATTACTGGAAATATTAATATATTTTTAATATTTATGATAAAACTCTACTTAAAATATTATATTTTTACTAGAAATGTTAATATCGCTAACTAATTTCCGATTGAACTCAATATTAATATTTCTGAAAAAAAATAATATTTTAAGTAATATCAAATATTAATATTTTTGATAAAAAATAATATTTTAAATAATACTTTATCAAAATTATTAAAAAAAATATCAATAATTTCGATAATATTTTTCTTTAACCATAAATTAAGACTACATATACATTCCCCACTTGCCTTCCCAACTCAGATCGGATAGAAGCTTTTTTTCAGCCTTTGTTTGCTTTTGGTTTTGGTGTCTTAAGATTAACGTGTCATCTTGTCTGGAAAAAAAAGTTGCAAGAAAAGGTACCCTTCAAAAAACGTGACTTTCACTATTCAACCCCTCCTTCCACCCTCCAAAATCTTATTGCCCCCGTTTCCACTTCTTCTTTTAAGGGTAGTCACTAAATATTTAGGGTATTTTTCATTTTGGTTATTAAATTTTTAAAACATACATTATAGTCACTAATTTTTCAATTCATTTTTATTACTGTCATTAAAGTTTCTTTTTCAAAAAGCCTCTACTTTATCGAGTTGGCAACCACCTTAAAGGTTGGTTTTTTTATAAGCGGGGTGGTAGACGTTCAATCTTATAGGTGAAAATGCTTTAGTTTGCTCTTTTAGTATTTGGTTCCAAGTGTTGAGCAGCAATGAGAGGAAAAAAGTGAAGTCCATAGTGAGAAAAGAGAGATTTTAGAGTTTGGGAATTTGATTCAACCAAATGTTTTGACATAATGGTGGTGCTACTGCTAACAGTAACATTAGACATCCTCGTGGTTTATTTTTTTTTGGATGCAATACCCAACCGAATCAATTATTTAGGGTGCGTTTGGTTCACGGAATGTAAGATTACCAGTGGGAATAAAAGATTACCAGGTAATAGGATTACTGAGAATGTTACATTACTGTGTTTGGTTAGTTTGGCATGAATGTAAGATTACAGTGTTTGGTTGAAGGAATAAAAGATTACTGGAATGTATATTTTACCAAATTGTCCTTCTTCTATATTTTTTTTAAAGTGAAATTCTAAATATTTAAATAAAATTTATTTATATAAAAAATTTATTTTTTGATAATATATTACTTGAGTATTTAAATATATCAGGTATTATTTTAATTTTAATTAATATTAAATTTTACATAATTTATGTAAAAATATATTAAAATGAGTTTTTGTTATGTAACAAATGAGATAATACTTGAGTAAGAATAAAAATGTAAATTAAAATTCAAACTATGTATCTTTATTTTGAGGAATTATGATTATCAGTTTTTATTTTATTATAACGAGAACCACATTACAAAATGTAGCTAGCTAATTCATTAAAATCTTCTTCGATCGACCTGCCAACTAACAATCCCGATGCAATCATATTATATTATATAAATTGTTATTTCATTGCATCTATGCAATAACACCAATATTTAATCTGCAGGTTTCTTGTAGACCTTGTGGGGAAGTTGTGTTTCAATGGCACTTGCCAAGGACCCTACCTGCTCTCTTCAATCCTCTGAACCTTACAGATTTGATGAAGGAGGTGACTTGAAAAAGCCTGGTGGGATTGTCAAGAATTTTCCCATGACTATTTCGGATTCCGATGGTTTCATGTTTCGGTCACCCAAGGAAGTTCACTCTTCGATAAACTTCAAAAGTTCAGTGTATGATGGTTTCATTCATGAGATTAATTGTGGATCTCTGCTTAGCTTTGAGCAAAATGACAAGGCTCTCCAAAGCACTTACTTGAAAACCAGCAGTTACAAAGATGATTATTCGATGTGGGAGGGTGGTTTGAGTCCGAATTATCAATGGAATCCGATGATCACGAAGAGCGGTACCGATCCTCGCCTACTGGAAGATTTTAGCTGCTTTGAAACTGCCAGCAGTTTTAGTTCCATAACAAAAGAAAACAATGGAGATTGGTTCTACTCTGAAGCAGCAGTGGTTGCTGATAGTATCCCGGAGTTGCAATCACCCGAAGCACCTGGCGTCAAGCGTCCGAATACAGTACTGTTCTTTTCCATTCAATCCAAATAATTAACAGTCAATTCATAAGAAAGCTATTGATTTAACTGCCGATATATTTGGTATTTTATAGGGAGACAGCAACCAAGCTTTGAAGAAACAGTGCAACAACGAAGCTAAGAAGGCGAAAACTAAGTCCGGTCCATCAAAGGACCCCCAAAGTATTGCCGCCAAGGTTTGTCGACATGTATTTTCAGTAAATTTGGTTAAGTTTGATAAAAAAAGTAATCAAAATCCAGAATGAAAATGAACATATAGAGATTGTTTCCATAACCAGAATCGACGTGAGAGGATCAGTGAGCGGTTGAAGATACTACAAGAACTGGTACCCAATGGCTCCAAGGTAAGGAAAATGATATTTGCAATTGCATTCATGGTAAAAGCTGGAAACTGTATATATGTATGTATCTTATTGCTCATTTCACAGGTTGATCTGGTTACCATGCTGGAGAAAGCAATTAGTTATGTCAAGTTTCTTCAGTTGCAAGTGAAGGTGAGAGATTTTCAGCTTCTAATCATTGGGTTTTATAACGGATCTTTAACTTGAATTAACCATTGCATATGATAAATGCAGGTGTTGGTAACAGATGAATTTTGGTCGGTTCAAGGTGGGAAAGCTCCTGATATTTCTCAAGTTAAGGAAGCCATTGATATGAGTTTTTGTTCACTTGATTATTGATTTGTTAAAATAAATTTATTTAACTTGATATTGACATAAACTGATAATACATGTGACATAAAC